ATGCGTCACATTTCCTAGACGTGCATGCCGCCACGACGTAGCTAACTGCAGTGAATTCAAGGTCTGCAAATAATTCCAGACACCGCTATTTTTTACGTGCACCCAGAGCCAGCGTCACCGCCACGGAACGGCGTTCGTGAAAATCAGCATAAGCACTCCATGGCACCAACCTTTACGGGCGGCTACCCTTTCTGTTAAAGGCCAATGAGCGCGTTTTGACACCAGCAAGAAAGCTGAGGTTGTATAAAACATGGATTATCTAGGTCACTTGACCTCCTGCCACCGGAAGCCTTAAACAGCGAAGACCGAAGGCAAGAACCGGCAGTGGCTGCGTTCTACAATCGACTGTGATCTAGCTGTGTGGCTGTGTCCTCGCAAAGACGTCACAGATGTGTCACTCGCGGGTCAATGCTGTGTCGGTGGACTTGCTTTTCCTACGCTGTTTGTTGAGCTTGACACAGTCGTCAAAGTTAAGTTAATGTTGAATGGGCCCGCCCGAACATGACATGTAGAAATACCTGTGATGCCACGTATACTATGACAGAGAGGGTGATGAACGAAGTGCAAACCCTCGGCGAACTGCGCATGTACCATACCGCTAATTGATGGGCTGGGCTATTATGCGTTTACTAATGGTTTCCCTCTAGTAGCTCGCTAAGAGTCTAACACGGGCTAGACCATCGGCGCGCATGCGCAGCGAGGGTTAGTCGTTCTGTCTGTCTGTCTGTCTGTCTGTCGACGCTTATTCTGGCACTACAGGCTACGAGGCGGCCTGTAAGCGATACCAGCGGCTTCAGAACAACGCCAGCCTGAAAAATAAAAGGGCGAATTTCCTGAAACAACTGCGTTCGAGAACGACAAACTGGCACGGTCACGGACCGCGTTGCGTGGTCCAACCCATCAATAAGCGGGTGCGCATGCGTATCGATCAGCTCGGTATACTGGCTCACCTCGTCCTTATTCGCTTGCTCTGTGTACACAAGAAGCCACAGCGAAGGATGTGTATCCACTTCCGCATGCTATCTACTACTGTAGCTAGCCCGTGTCAGACTCTCTGCGAGCTATATACTAGCGGGAGACCGCGAGTAAACGCCAATAGCCCAGCCCAGCCCATGCATTAGCGGTACCGCGAATGCACAGTTCGCCGAGGGTTTGCACTTTCATTATTGGCGAGCGGGAGCGAGCTAACCTAGTGGTACGAACGGCGCGGAAAATTATATATATATTTATTTATCTACGACCGTACGTCGTCCAACTGCGCATGCTCCAGGATTACGCGCTTCTTTTTATCCGAAAGGATTTCAAAATTTCACATGCTGCCTGCCTGTGATGATGTCGTGCGTATACATGTGCGTATAGTCCGGGGAAGATGCCCTTCGTCGTCGAAGAGAGTGGGAAAGAGAACATCGTGCCCGTGAGACTCCTGAGCAGAGAGGCTCTTTTGTATCAGCGTCGCTTTCGTGATAGGGAACGCGCAAATTTTTACACGCTGCCTAGCTGTCATATCGATGCGAAATATAGCCAGCCAAACAACTCTCGTCTATTTGCTGGCATTCGCTGCGCTCTTCGATACCTGACCGAGGCTGTCTATACCTCCTTCCAATCTTCGTGATTCTAAGGTTCAAGTTGTAGGATGGCTCGTGCAGATAGAGTCATTGTGTGCTCGCTCCCGCTCGCCAAAAATGCCATGCATTCGCCTACTAGTAGCAGTAGATAGCATGTTGTAGTCGATACACGCCATTCGTTGTGACTTCTTGTGCACACAGAGAAAGCGGACCCGGTCGAGGTAAGCTTGTGCTAGCTAATTAACCCTCGCTGCGCGCATGCGCAGCGGAGGGTTATTGCAGTCGGTCTGTGTGTCCGTGTGTCCGTGTGTCCTTCCGTCCGTCCGTCCGTCCGTCTGTCCACCGTTTTTCTCGGTAACCGCGGCAACTCTGAGCGTGAAACGTGGACATACTAGTAGGCGAATGCACGGCATTTTTGGCGAGCGGGAGCGAGCACACGATGATTATATCCGCACGAGCCAACCTAGGCTACTTACAACTTGCAGCTTGAAGATTGCAAGCCTCGGTAAGGTACCAAAGAGTGCAGCGAATGCCGCCGAATGGACGAGAGTTCTCTCCCTGGCCCGGCATCGAGCTAAGACCGTGTAAAAAATTTGAAATTATTTCGGATAAAAAGAAGCGCGTAATTCTGACACATGCGCAATAGCACGACGTACGGACAGTCGTGAAATCGCGCCGTTTGGACCACTAGGTTAGCTCGCTCCCGCTCGCCAATTACTACAGCAAAGTGAAAAGCACTTGACAGTACATAACCCTCAGTCACCACTTTATTCTTTATTTCAACAGCCAATGGCTACTAGCTACCTGGCTACACTATCTCAGTGACTCCTTCACTGGACAGATTCGCTTCCTGGCTCTCACTTCACTGGCAATCTCGCTCCTACTCAACTGTCTTTATCTCTATTTGACGCACACTAGCCCTCCGTTTCCCCCGCTTCCCCGGCCTTCTCCGCTCCAGAATCTTATTTTACCATGCATGCCTCCTACTTGATAGTAACTAGTATTGAAAACGCATGTCCAGAATAATGTGGACAAGGATGATTGGAATAAAGTTCAATGCCGGATAATGTTCACAAAATGAGAGATGGCTTAATTAATTAAAGGAAGAGCAGTCTCTGCTATTGAACCTCCATAATTAACAGTGGCGAGGGTTATGCACTTTCAAGTGCTTTTAAAATTTGAATTGCGGTTTGTTCACTTGCTTTTCACGCCATAACTTTTGAATGCAGTAGTTCTACGAAAATCAAATGAAGGTAGTGTAGCGATGAACCCGTTGGTATGTTGTCTCGTACGAGTTAGTCACAGAAAAGTGGTAACGGACACACTCACGACAGTAACCCTCGCTGCACATGCGCGCCGAGGGTTAAAAACATGTACAAGAGGCATAAAAGAAGGTGGGGTCCATGGCAGCGAAAGAGTCAAGTAGAGTGCACTGCAGGAGTTGTCCCTTTTCGTGTGGTTGGTGATGACATGTTCGGCCAGGGTTGGTTATTCCTTGATAACTGAGGGTGCATGATCCCACAACTTCTTCCTCCCAACACACTCAGTGATCTTGTGCATGAACTGATAATTATTTGTAGACCTTTTATAGCAGCAGCAGATTGTCTTCTCCTTGATGGTCTTTTGTGCATTTCTGATGATGTCCAGCCAGGCATATTGGCACTCAATATCTCCTCCTGTTCCCTGCATTCCTTCACTAGACTGAGTGCCTCCACATTGTCTACCATAGCTGAAAAAATGCTATGACAGCTATGGTAGACGATGTGGAGGCACTCAGTTCTGAAGAGACTGATGTCTGTGTTAACTCAATAACGTGGCGTATGCTAGAAAATGGCATGCCGAAGGTCAAACTTCAGTAAGCTTGAGTCAGCATCAATCCTCTCCCTTTGCTGTGGGTCGAGGGGTGCGACAGGGGTCCATTCTGTCACCTGCGCTATTCTTACTGGTTATGGACCCCTGTTAATAAAAGTGCAGTCACTCTCCCTTGGTGCATCAGTAAACAACATGTATGTGGGTGCCTTTCTGCACCCAGATGACATTCGCACGTTAGCTTCTTCTACAAAACACTTGAAGCACAGATCTCGGCCATAACAAAGTTATTGAACACGCTCGAATGAAAGGAGAGATCAACGAATTCTGAAACTGCCAAAGTGGTGCTCCAACACAGTGGCGATCGTAGCACTTGGGTGCAATTCACTCCACCCTGTTTGTACCATCAGAAAACTAAGGTTCCTGCAAAGTTATATAGAATCTGGCAAGCCATCCTCCATGAGGCGAGGTTCCAATCTATTGAGGATCACAGTTTCTACTTTAGACATGGCTGAATTGAGGGTGATATTGTTTGCATTGAGGGGGGCCTTGGCTCCACGCTTGTAAACAGGGATAGTAATTCTGAGTCATAACGGGATCTGCTCTGCATCGACGATAGAGTTCAAGATCTCTGTTAGCCAGATGATGATGGCTTGACCTCCAAATTTCAGGTGTTCGGGAGTCAGATTGTCTGATCTAGCAGATTTATCATCTTGTTCACAGTGTGCTCTACCTCCTCAGGAACGTCCAGAAAGACCTCTTCCTTCTTGAAGGTTGCAGAGAGCAGAGTTGATGACTGTTTGATTGATTCCTTTAGTGCAGGATTCTTCTCTTCTTGTGATTTGGCAAGACTCTGGAAGTCTGCGTCCACATCTGTAGGAGTTGGGATGGATCAGAGACCAGGGCTCCATTCACACAAATATGTGTACATTTAGACTTTTCAAGTTTCTGTGGAATACGGAATCAGAGATGGGAGTTGGCTCGGAAAGTGTCTTCCGTCATTGTACTCGTCTCCACTCTTCCATAGCAGAGCAGATATTATTCGCTGCCAGACCTCCTTCCGCAAAGTAAACTTAGCATCGTACAAGGGACCACTATCCATTAAATGCTCTCCATGCTTCCTTGCTTTTTGCACGCAGTTGTGATAGTGTCCTGTCCCTGAATCTGTGGGCCTTTCTTGGCTTCAGCAATGGTAGTGTTTTGTGGGCTGCGTCTGTAATTAGCCACACATGCCCAATCCCTCTATCAATGTGGTCAATACTTCCTTTGAGTAAATGACTTTGGCCTGTCAGATACTTCTTCATGGAAGTTCAGCATAGCCCCTGCCTTTTCTGCCTTGGGCCCAATCCAAATTGGGATCGTTTGCGAATTGGGTAGGCATGTTGCAAGAGAGAGACACTGACAGTGCAAGGTGAGGCCATGGAGCCAAGATGGGGCATTGGCAGCAATCATAGGCCCCCTCTGCTCTGACTCCAAAACCACCTCTCCAACTCAACGAGTGAGAGCTCAACCCCCAAATCTAGACATGGATCCATGTATGATTGTTGTCTTGGTAGTAACACATGCATAAAGGGTGCGGTCGTAGTACTTACAAAATGGAAAGAAGTGGTGGTAGTAGATTAGAAGAGGTAGCTAGTTAGAACAGAAAATTACAACATTAATCAGTGCTTATAGAAAGTTCCACTGTACAATGGAGATTTTAACTGTATATAGAACTGAAATTTAAATCAGGATGGCCCCTATGGGCTTTCATTTTACGGGCTAAATGTGTGCATAATGAGTGCTAATTACAATTTTCAGATGACAGTAGTAACTGTACAAGTATTACAGAAGAGTGCATTGGTTCATTCGACTACTGTGGCACTCTGTATGGACCTAATGGCTACCAAGATATAATTTGCGTGGATGGCCAGTGCCGATGCCCTGGAAATGACTTCTACGACTACTGCACTTGTCTACGTAAGTAATTTGTACCTTATTCATGCCAGGAGGAATAAGATAATGTGTTTAACTAATAATACAGCACATATTGGCAGTTGTTTGATAAAACAAGACTCTGCATCTATCGTTGGGACTCCAACTACTGATGGAGACTCTGAGACAACTTATGGTTGTGTGGCATCAGACAACTGTAACTATGAAGTCCATGTCATAGGAAATCATGAGAGCAGTAATGGAAGACAAGCGTGGTTATTTACAAACCAGAGTAGCGGGAGACACAGACGTGGTAGTCAGAGTCTCTGGAGAGAGTCCTCGTCCTCTCATACTAGTTCTGACATCCTATGAGCCAGTGAGGTGGAGACTGAGTGTCACTAGTGGAGTCACCATCGACAGAGTCATTCTGGTAATATAATGAGTGAATATGTTATTAGAGTGATCTACTGACCCAATGTTTGGTAACTTTTTTTAGAGTGGATACTATGCCAGTGCTGTCACTTCAAGCATCAGCAATGCTATTAGACAAACTGAGACACTGAGGGAGCCTGACAATCACTCTGGATATGGGTTTGATCATCATGAAGAAGGAAGAACTTCAAAGTTTCTGCTCTACCTTCAACAAAGATTTGGTCCTATCACTTCATTCAGCGGTAGCTTCAGGGCGAATCGATGGGCGCTCAATATTCACAGATCGTCAAGTGTGTGCCTTTAAACCAAAGCAGATGTGTGTTCCAAAACATCATTACCTCAGGTTGCAGTTTCAACAACATGACTCGCAGTTGTCCGGTGCCCTCTGCTCCAGAGAATGGAACAGTGAATGTGACTGGAGTCCAGCCAATTGTTGCCAAGTACAGTTGTCATGAGGGAACTCTGGTTGGATCAGAGATGAGGACATGTCTGGGTAATGGTTCCTGGTTTGGAGTTGAACCTTCCTGCAGAACTGGTAAACATACATATTTGTGTAGCGCTTATTGATCTTTTGTGCTATAGTATTCTTGCAAACACTTTTTTATTGCAACACTTTAGGAAACGTGTGTACAGTAGCTCCAATTCGAGAGTGCCCATCCCACATGTACTGTGGAGATCTCCCCAGCTCCCATGACGACTACTTTGAAATTACCTGTGGTGAAGATAATGATTGCAGGTGTCCTGGGAATGACTACTATGACAACTGCACATGCTTACGTATGTTTATGTAACACCCCATTGAGTCATCATAGGCATGTAGGTGCACAAGTGCTATAATTGCACTGAAGTGCAAAACCTCTGCGCACTGCGCATGCGTGGCACTATTAATATTGATGGCCTGGAGTTGGACAAGATCACGTGAATCCACGTGAATTACCAAGAATTCCAATTAACATTTCAGGCATGTAGGGTTGGACGTCGTTTTATAGGGCTAAAGTTGGAAGATACCCTTGAAATCTCGTACAGAGTTGTAAAAATGATCGAAAAGGGTAAAGAAAAATTAGCTGAGTTACCACGCGTACGCTTTGAGTGCCTCGAAGGTTCTGGTACTCTTCGCTGCAACTCGCAACTCGCATGGGGTGGGGGTGGTGTTCCGCCGCTTACGGAGGAAGAAATTGCTGATTCAGCAAAAATTGCATAGCGTTACGCAATCAATCCGCGTCTCCAACCTCCGTCCATCCAGCGCTAACAGCTTGATTTTGCGCAATTTATTAACCCTCGGCGCGCATGCGCAGCGAGGGTTACAGTAGTTGGGTCGTGTGTCTGTTACTTTCAATCTCACTTCTCGAATGTGTTTTCGTCTCACAAATGATGCTACCTACTCAGGCAATGAAGGTTAGAACTTATGTGCGGTTTTCTCAGAAAATTCTCCATTGCGCGCTTCCAGCATTGTACGGCTAATGGCATTTTTATCGCTGCGGAAAATGCGCATGCGGTTATATGCTAATGAGCACAAGCTTACCTCGACCGGGCCGCTTGCTCTGTGTATATATCTTGAAGGCATAAGAAGTCACAACGAAGGGCATGTATCGACTCCCGCATGCTATGTGAAAACTATGAGGTAGAAAGGCAAAGGCACAACAAACAAATCAACTACACCCAGGACAGCTCTTTTTTCCAAGGAAAAATAAAGAGCTGCCCTAGGTGGGATTCGAACCCACGACACTCTGCAACTGAGCTACCAGGGCAACTCAGCTGGTAGGGGTTCGAATCTACAACACAACACAACACAAGGCAAACCTCCAACCACTGTGCTATGGCACAGTAAACTCTCACTTAGCATGTAGGAGCAGACTGGGGTAATTAAACCACCAATGACGCCCAACTCCAAGCCAAGTATATGCATGTGAAAACTATGAGGTAGAAAGGCAAAGGCACAACAAACAAATCAACTACACCCAGGACAGCTCTTGTTTTCCAAGGAAAAATAAAGAGCTGTAGTACTACTGTAGCTAGTCTGTCAGACCCTTCGCGAGCTACTAGCATGGAGACCATGAGTAAACGCATACTAAAAGCCCAGCCCATCAATTAGTGGTACCACGCGTGCGCAGTTCGCCGAGGGTTTGCACTTCAGTGCTTTTCTTTTATTTATTTATGCTCTCTTGACTGTTGTACAAAACCACTTTTGCCTGGTAGCTAGCTTGTTGTCATGCATACTTAATCAAGCCATTATGTAAATACTGTCTTTGCTTGTACTCTATGGAAATACATTATTGGGCTTGGGGAAAGTTCTACAAGCTCATGTAACACTCGCGCTGCATGCTTGTGCTAGCTTCTCGAACTTTCCCTGTGCCCAATAATTTCCGTAGAGTATTCGCGCTGGTACTTTAATTAGTACATATTATGGTACAAAGTGTGCACTATTCTTTCGGTTTACAGCTCATATTGGCAGTTGTCTGATAGAAAAAAACTCAGACTCTAATGTTGGAACACCAACATCATATGGTGGGGGGCAAGAGACAACATATAGCTGTGTGGCATCTGACAACTGTAACTATGAAGTCCATGTCATTGGAAACTATGAGAGCAGTAATGGATTACATGGGGGGCCATTTACAACCAGAGTAGCAGGAGTCACAGACGTGGTAGTCAGAGTCTCTGGAGAGAGTCCTCGTCCTCTCATACTAGTTCTGACATCGTATGAGCCAGTGAGGTGGAGACTGAGTGTCACTAGTGGAGTCACCATTGACAGAGTCATTATGGTAAATGAGTCGTGACTGTGTAGGAGCAGTTTGGCGTTATTGTCTCCTTGCTTTGTAACTCTTCACTTAGAGTGGATATTGTGTTGGTGTCAGTTCAAGCCCCAGCAACGCTATTAAAGAACTAGAGACACTGAGGGTGCCTGACAATTACTATGGATATGGCGCTGATCATGAAGTTGGAGGAACTTCAAAGCTTCTGCTCTACCTTCAACAAAGATTTGGTCCTGTCACTTCATTCAGTGGTAGCTTCAGAGCTGATCGATGGGAACTCAATGTTCACAGGACATCAGGTGAGTGTGTCAAACAAAAACAGATCTGTGCTCCTAAACATTGACATTACTTCAGGTTGCAGTTTCAACAGTATGACTCGCAGTTGTCCGGTGCCCTTTGCTCCAGAAAATGGAGCAGTGAATGTGACTGGAGTCCAGCCAATTGTTACCAAGTACAGTTGTCATGTGGGAACTCTGGTTGGACCAGAGATGAGGACATGTCTGGAAAGTGGCTGGTCTGGAGAGGAACCTTTCTGTGGTAGCTACTGGTACTAGATCGTCAGTAAATCCTCTATCAAATCTCACGTCCGCATACAAAATGCATTAAAACTCAGCGAGAATTACTTACCATGCCTTCAAACATCACTATATACCAATAACCTAGAGGCCATTATATAATAGCTATACATAAATGCCCAAGGACAATGTACGTGCCCTCAGTTCCCCACGCGAGAATTCTTTCATATGCGAATTTACGATTATCGTCATCTGCATCATCACCATACTTTTCTCCTCAAACTTGCTACCTTCTTAACATAATTAGTTGAGACCTTATTTTTTCACTAAATTTCTCAGAGGTGTGCATAACCATCATGCGATCGTTCACTTCATCTTGCAAGTCCCTACAGTAGATCGTGGAGCTTCCATGGTAGACACGGAATGACGCCATTTCGCAGCGAGGGGAGTTGTCCTGATGCACATGCAGTGCAATGCTCGCTGGCGACGTGTTGACTACAGATAATTATGATGATGTATAGCTAACATTTACTTTGCCTTTAGTTTGCTGGTTACTGCTTTGTATACTATGCTGGTGTTTCAGTGTCCTAACTCAAAAAGCTTCTAATAATTATGTATTGTGCTTGCTCTGTCAGGCAGTGGTGAACAGGTTGAATCAGTTCATTGTCAACTGCATGCACATCAGATTGACCATAATAAGTAAATGTTGTGTTGTCAGTGCTGTAATATTATGGAAAAATCATTTTTTTGCAAGTGAAGGGGTGGCTCAAAAAGAAGGTACTGTGTAAGTATTTGGCTGAGTTACAAAGCTTACGCTGTGAGTGCTGCTAAGCTTTAAGAACTCTTCGCTGTAACTCACTAGAGCGAGTGGACGCGGTCGAGGTATAAAAGCCTGTGCTAATTTGAGTTTTGGCTTGTTCACTTGCTTTTCATGCCATAACTTTTGAACACAGTATATAGTTATACGAAAATCACCTTTTTAAAAAAGAAGCCAGTGTATAGATGAACCCGTTAGTATCGCTGTTTTATTGTCTCGTTGCGCGTAGTCGCAGAAAACATTTGACAAACTGGTAACAGACTGACAGACATACTTACAAGCCAAGTACCGTAACCCTCGCTGCGCATGCGCGCCGAGGGTTAATGAAAGTGCAAACCCTCGGCGAACTGCGCATGCGTGTTACCCCTAAAAAGTCATGCGCTGGGCTATTAGTATGCGTTTACTCGTAGTCTCGTTAGTAGCTCACAGAGAGTCTGACACAGGGGAGCTACAGTAGTAGATAGCATGCGGGAGCCCTCCATTGTGACTTCTTGTGCCCTCAAGATACACAGAGCGAGCGGACAGGGTCGAGGCAAGCCTCTGCTAATTAGCAAGTGGCTTGTTCACTTGGTTTTCAGGCCATAACTTCCGAACACAGTATTTTTATGAAAATCTTATTTTTTTAAATCAAGCCAGTGTAGCACTAAACCCGTTACTATCACTCTTTGGCCGATTTCTTGCGCGTGGTGGGAGAAAACGTGGTAACAGACAGACAGTCAGAGAGACAGAGGAAAGACACACTAACGAACCAAGTACTGTAACCCTTGCTGCGCATGTGCTCCAAAGGTTAACTATTAAACTATATAACACCTGTGATCTTGGCTTGGCTTTAATTCAGTGATCTGCCACACAGAGGTAAAGATTGCATTGAAACAGTGTCTCAAGTAAAAGTTCCATTTCTTATTTTTATAATCACAATAATATAAATATCAGCCACTCTTCCTCTATTGTAAAAAAACAATGTCAAATGTTCAATTTAGCAAACTTTGATTGTAAACTTTAGAAGTCAGGGTTCACAATGATGGGACTGTGCAATACTATATCCATAATACAGGGGTGATAACTTTGTGAACCAATGTTTGTATTGTTGTAAAAAAGGCCATCTATTGAAAGGTTCACAAATGTGTTATGCAGTTGCTCCAATTTTCAACGTAAATAATTGCAAGATTACATGAAAGTGCTGAGTATTTTTCATGGAAATCACACAAATTTTTAAAATTGGAAACGGAACTTTTACTTGAGACACTGTTGCATTCATTGACATGTATCCAACCTCCTGAGTCAGCACTGGAGAACGATCTTGGAGGTACCAATCAAGATTTGTTGTCATGCAAATTTTCGTGCAAGTATCACAAATTCACGTATCAATAACGTGTGACTAGCAAACACAATTAGCAGTCTAGAGCTTGATATAGATAGTTTAGAACACTTTCCGAGATTAGTTGCAGTGGTGCTGTGACACTCCTGGTATTGCAAGCTCAATCTTGAGAACGTGCTGCAAGAAATCGATGTATACATAATAGTCCTCTTCGGAACAGTGTGATTGCTAGATATCAGACTTAACAAAGAGCTTGAAGCATTCTTGGCTTCAGTCGTTACTGACTGCTTGTGGGTATGCACAATTCCTATTGTGAATGCTTTTCTAGACAGAACAATGTAGACCGGGAGATTACATAATTATTAGGCTAGATACCGTAAATAACGAAAAGCACTGAAGTGCAAACCCTCGGCGCACTCCTCATGCGCGGTACCGCTAATAGATGGGCTGGGCTATCAGTTGTGTTTACTCGTGGTCTCCATGCTAGTAGCTCAGCGAGAGTCTGGCTACATACATAGCTAGGGCTAGGGCTTGGGAGTCTGTTGGCCTCCCTCTCATCATTTGCAGATGCTTTGCGTGAATGCCAAATGCATGCTACAGTTTTCCGCATTAGGCATTCATACAAAGCATCTGCAGTACTGTAACTACTATACTCTTGTGCACTTTGTGGGTTTGTTTAGGAGCGTCTTTCCCTTTTTTCAAAATGCAGTGTTTCATTTCTACATCTTTTGTGGCCATCATTAATGCATGTGTGATAGCACTATTTTGTACGTTCTGCACAAATGAGATGTCGACTTCAGTAGCAAATTATCTCTCAAATCTTTCTTCAAATCCGTCGAAATAGGTCCTGGAGACACATGCAGAGAGGGAGAATTTAGATGTGCAGATGGATCAGGAACCTGCTACCCACTTTCATTCATATGTGATGGATATCTAGACTGCAGTGATGGATCAGATGAAGAACACTGTGACATATGTGAGATCTTGTGTAGATGAGCTAGTTAAGCCCTCATATCTCTTTCAGTAACAAATTTGGCTTCTGTGCCGCATCAGCGTTTTTTCAGCAACTTTCTTGCACGTATGCGTCATTCTGCCCGAATTGACACACCCCTTTCATTACACGCGCTGTGGCAATCTGCCATTTTACAGACCTGCGCACAGCCTCTGTGCCTGCCTTTCATCCTGCTGAGACATTTATGACGTGTCTCACTCAATCCTGACCTTTTTGCTTTTCCTTTTTGCTTTTAAGAGTAGTACTTAAAGGGCAGATGAAAGCAACATCAAAGCTCCGACTGCCACACCCAAGAGCCGACTGACCACTTCTGAGGATGCGTGGGTGCTTTTTACGAGATAATGCTGCCATGCCACCAGCCTAGCTACCTGGTCAAAGTTCACAATTGTGCGAGTTTTTTGTTGACGTTTCTAGAAGTGTGTAAATTTACAACGTTTCGTGACCGAAAGGGAAAAACGGATGGCACAGGTCAACACGTGATCCGTGTGCAAAACGCCTAAAATCTTGGCGAGAATGACTCGCCCTGCCTTCAAATACGTCAGCAATAGCTTAAGGGCCCGTATCTAGACATGTGCCCAACTACTTTATACTCGCCTTCAGTCCTCCACGCGAGAATTCGCACATACTCAATTACACTATTTTGGTGTTATCATATTATTATTTATCTTCTTCTTCTGTAAACCCGCTATCCGCTTACCAGAACCAGTTGAAGCGTTGATTTTCCACCAATCTTCTCCAGATTCGCTGGGGGTGTGCACAGACATCAAGCGATCTTTTTTCTCTCTCCACAAGTCACTACGGTAGATCGTGGAGCTCTTTCATGAGAGACACTGAATGCTACTAACTAAGCATCAGTGAGCAGCATGCACGGAGCACAGGGATGTTGCCCAATGCGTTGTGTATGCACATTCACCGGCAGGTGGTGATCTTGGATTCAGTGCCTTCTGTAAATTTCCATCTCGCTAACCCTGCGTTTCCTGTTGATTTGCATGAGGAACAAATTCTCATAGTCTGCACGGTAGCTAGCTAGCTAGCTATCAGCTTACGTGGTCCTTGATGGACGCACATATAAGTCTTAGCGTTAGGTTGTAACTAACATGATTACCAAAGAGCCTACTAAAACCGCCACTGTGTGCCATAACCTGTTATTAACGTCCTCCTAGGAGACAGTACATTGGGTTAATATCTCTGTCTCTACATCTACTAACCCCCTTCTTCAGTCAACAGCAGTCCATTCGCTACTGCTTTCAGAAGTTAGAGTTTGTCAATGGTCAACCTCTCTACAACATACCCATGAACACAACAGTGTCTGTTAATCCTAAAACCGTGTTGTTATACCTGTTCATTATAAAATGGAAACAAGTGAAAAATCGTTTCTTATCAAAATGAAGAAGGATATAGGGATGGCTTGAAGAAAGAAACAAGGGGTCATTATACAGCAAAGATCATGCATAAAGCTACATGACACCATCTCTATATCCCCTTCATTTCGAAGAAATGATTTTCCACTATTTATTGTGAGCTTTAGCCTGTTGGCAACTCCCTCTCAACATTGCAGATGCTTCGCATGAACACCAAATGCACATTGCTTTTTTTGTTTCTGAGCTAGTGTATGTAAAGTTTGGTAGCTACCCATCATCCTAAGAAAATCCTCATGAGAGGGTTGAGATGTTTTAAAGTTTTGTTTCACTTACTCTGGTACAAACAATAATGTTCAGGGAAAGAACAAGTCTTATACAACATGCCTTGGGTGATGTTGAACATGTTTAATTGACTAGGAAAACTCATAGCTTAATTGTAACTTTCTAACACTAGTCACTGACCAAAATTGATATAGCCAAACATTTCAGTAGCACCAGGCTACCATCTTCAGTGCTGTGGCATAATGAAAGATACAGGAAAGGGAATGGTGATGATTTCAGACAGAGTGGAAAAGGAATCGCAACCCTTGCCTGTATCTTTCATTAGGCCACTGAAGATGGCAGCTTGGTGCTACTGAAACGTTTGGTTATATCAATTTTGGTGAGTGACTATATAGTGTTATAAAGTTACAAGCTATGAATTAGGCGATATTCCACATTAAGCATTCATGCAAAGCAAGTTGTCCCTTGCACCTTAGATTGTTTGTCACAGTCTTTTCTTTTTTTCCTGAAATCTGTTTATAACCGTAGGTTCTGGAGACATAATATGTGGAGAGGGAGAATTTAGATGTGCAGATGGATCAGGAACCTGCTACCCACTTTCATTCATATGTGATGGATATTCAGACTGCAGCGATGGATCAGATGAAGAACACTGTGACATATGTGAGATCTTGTGTAGATGAGCTAGTTAAGCCCTCATATCTCTTTCAGTCATAAATTCGGCTTCTGTGCCAGATCAGCATTTTTTCAGCAACTTTCTTGCACGCATGCGTTATTCTGCCCGAATCGACACACCCCTTTCATCACACGCGCTGTGGCAATCTGCCGTTTTACAGACCTGCACACAGCCTCTGTGCCTGCCTTTCATCCCGCTGAGACATTTATGACTTGTCTGACTCAATCCTAACTTTTTGCTTTTTTAGAGTACTTAAAGGGCAGATGAAAGCAACATCAAAGCTCCGACTGCCACATCCAAGAGCTGACTGACCACTTCTGGGGATGTGTGGGTGCTTTTTACGAGATAATGCTGCCATGCCACCCGCCTAGCTACCTGGTCAAAGTTCACAATTGTGCGAGTTTTGTTGACGTTTCTAGAAGTGTGTAAATTTACAACGTTTTGTGACCGAAGGGATGGCACAGGTCAACCCGTGATCCGTGTGTAAAACGCCTCAAAACTTGGCGAGAGTGACTCGCCCTGCCTTCAAAATACATCAGCAATAGCGGGCCCATATCTAGACATGTGCCCAACTACTTTATACTCGCCTTCAGTCCTCCACGCGAGAATTCGCACATACTCAATTACACTATTTTGGTGTTATCAGAGAGTCGGTAGACTCTCTATATAGGGACGACACGGGTGAAATCTCACGTGATCCGCGTACAAAACGACTAAAAACTCGGTGAGAATCACTCCCTAGGCCTTCAAAACATACTAGCAATAGTATACGGGCCCATATCTACCTATATATGTCCCCCAAGACCTCATACGCACCTTCAGTCGTCCACGCGAGAATTCGCTCATACGCGATTTCACGATTTTCGTGTCATCATTATTATTCTTCATCTTCTTCTTCTTCTTCTTCCTCCTCCTCCTCCTCCTCCTCCTCCTTCTTCTTCTTCTTCAGACCAGCTAGCTCCTTACCGGAAGCACTTGAAGCGTTGATTTTTTCACAGAACGTCTCCGAATTTGCCGGAGGTGTGCACGCACATCAAGCGTTCGTTTGTTTCTTGCCGCAAGTCACTACGGTAGATCGTTGAGCTCTTCCTCGGTAGTCACTGAACAACGCCATTTGCTGCTAACTCAGCATCAGTGATCCGCATGCGCAGAGGAGGGCGTTTCCCAATGCGGTGCGCGCGCATTTTGTCTGGTCCACGAACGAGACTAAGCCAGGACTGGATGCCTGAAGAGAAAACTACTCTCATCCTCCAGTGCCTTCTGTAAGTCAGTGTACACATTTGTATCTGGCTAGCTTGCGTTTTGCTGTTGATTTGCACGAGGAGCAACTTGACAATCTGCGCCGTGTTACGCGTGCCGCCTTCATTCTTTGTTCCCCAGGTTATAGCTATCATTGTAGTCTGATTTCTGAAGCCCCAATGAAACCACCACCATATGTGCCACAACCTAATGCGTCCTTGTTGGAGACACTACGCATACACCCTGCTTCAGGTAAGAGCAGTCCATTAGCTTCTGCTTTCAACAGTTATCTCTACAACATAGCCATGAACATCAGAGTGACTGAGTGTTGTCATAAGGTGTTAAAAATAGTGGAAACAAGTGGAAAAATCATTTCTTCAAAATGAAAGTGGGATATAGGGATGACTTGAAGCACCAAAAAGGAAGAAACGAGGGGTCATTACACACCAAATATGCACAAAGCCACATGACACCATCCCTATATCTTTGTTTTATTGTTCATAAGCAAAGTTTAATATGAGACACATCCTCCTTCAACTTGATGTAACTATCCTCAATGACAGAAGCACAAGCACTATCTGTAGGCATGTAAATGCAACACACATACAATGCTTCCCTCCCTCTCCCACCTCGAACCTTCATCCACACGCTCTCCTCATACCTGACTTTACTTACGAACTATACCTCGTCTATCAAGCACTCCCGAACCAAGAACCCAACCCCTCCTTCCCCTCTACGACTACTCTGATTCTCACGAGGCTTTCCAAACCATCTATAGCCATCAACAGCAACTGCCTTTCCCTCCCTCTCCCAAGATTCCTGACCAGCTACTACATCAATCTTGAGCCTTTGCAAAAGCTCCCCTACCTCTCTCTGTTTACGCTCACTACAAAGGCCTGAAAAATTCCATGTAGCGACTCTTAGCCTTCTGTCCTTTTTGCCTTGGTCACTCACCCTCTCACTAACAACTGAAAGATTCACTTCACTGCCTCCAGGCACACCAGCTGCACACTCATCCACACTAGCAGCTAGCTGAGAAAACCTATTAACACACTGAATGCCAACTTGTACAGCCTCTTTAGCGGGGCAGGTTTCATCTAACACCGTGTTGTTATACCTCTAACACCGTGTTGTTAAACTCCCTCTCAACATTGCAGATGCTTCGCATGAACACCAAATGCACATTGCTTTTTTTTGTTTCTGAGCTAGTGTATGTAAAGTTTTGGTAGCTACCCATCATCCTAAGAAAATCCTCATGAGAGGGTTGAGATGTTTTAAAGTTTTGTTTCACTTACTCTGGTACAAACAATAATGTTCAGGGAAAGAACAAGTCTTATACAACATGCCTTGGGTGATGTTGAACATGTTTAATTGACTAAGAAAACTCATAGCTTAATTGTAACTTTCTAACACTAGTCACTGACCAAAATTGATATAGCCAAACATTTCAGTAGCACCAGGCTACCATCTTCAGTGCTGTGGCATAATGAAAGATACAGGAAAGGGAATGGTGATGATTTCAGACAGAGTGCAAAAGGAATCACAATTTTACATCATCACCGTGCCCTTGCCTGTATCTTTCATTAGGCCACTGAAGATGGCAACTTGGTGCTACTGAAACGTTTGGTTATATATATCAATTTTGGTGAGTGACTAGTGTTATAAAGTTACATTAGGTGATATCCCACATTAAGCATTCATGCAAAGCAAGTTGTCCCTTGCACCTTGGATTGTTTGTCACAGTCTTTTCTTTTCTTCCTGAAATCTGTTTATAACCGTAGGTTCTGGAGACATAATATGTGGAGAGGGAGAATTTAGATGTGCAGATGGATCAGGAACCTGCTACCCACTTTCATTCATATGTGATGGATATCCAGACTGCAGCGACGGATCAGATGAGCAACATTGTGACATATGTGAGATCATTCATTTTCATCAGAGATCAGTCCCTCAGCTGCTGTCGTGGTCTTGTGTAGTTGAGCTCACCAGTCCCAGTGATCTGTTTATGGATGAGGGAGCAGTGGAGAGCTTCACTATCTGCTTAACTGTCATGGAGGAAGTGGAAGGCTTTATATTAAGGGAGTTTAGTATTGTTACTTACCAAGCTGTTGCAGGATCAGCGAAAGGTGTGCTATGTGCTTATTAGGACTGTGTAATTTACAATTCCTTGTTATTATTGTAGATGAGATTGATTATACCCTTTTTAACCAAACAATAACATTTGTGGGAAACTATTCTCTTGGAGACTCTGAGTGTGCAGTGGTGGATGTGACAACCATCGACGATAACATTGTGGAGGGAACTGAAGTCATCTCAGTCTTCATTACTCCTGGACCTACAGCAACCATCTCCATTTTCATCATTGATAATGATTGTAAAACCATTCAATCCAGTAACTACACCGTTTGTTGTCGTTTTCTGTTATGCTTCACAGATTTGGAGGTTGGTTTTGAGAGTGAGTCACTCTCTGTGTCTGAATCAGCTGGTGGTGTGGAGATAGCAGTGAGGGTGTTTCCTGATCGAGAACGGAAATATTCCTGACATTGGCAAACCATTTGGTCTGAGGGTTACCAGCAAAGATGGGTCAGCTGTTGGTAAGATTTTACGCCACAAAACAAGACACAGTCTGTAATCTATAACACTGCTTACAGCGGGGATGGACTATCAAAGAGTGTTGTCAACAGTATACTTCCGTCCGGGTGAAAATCCAGTGTCTGTGTTGGAGATCAGTATCATTGATGATGGACTAAAGGAAGACAATGAAGTGTTTGCTCTTGAACTGACAAGTTTTGATCTACCTGTTGTTCTGGTCAATAGCGTTCTAAAAGTTGTCTTGAACGACAATGATGACGGTAATTATTGTAGTTGTCAAAATTCACAAATATTATGCCTCTTCAATTCATTACATAGGGTGTCCCGACCTAAAGGCTCCAGCAAATGGCTCTATTCACTACACTAGTTCAGATGTTGGCTCACAGGCAAACTACTCTTGCAATGAGGGATATACACTGGTTGGGATGAGTAACAGAGTCTGTCAGAATGATGGGACTTGGAGTGGACAGCCACCTCTCTGCCAGAGTGGTAGGAAAAATTGCACCTGTGTAATACACCAGTTATGAATGTGTTATTTCACAGAGGTGTGTACTGTGGAACTGGATGGGCCGATTGAAGTAACTGGAAGTTCGGCCACCTATTCATTCAGTGGTGTTGGTACTGGGATCAGTGGCTACATCTGTAGATTGGATGCAGTTGTCCTACCAGACTGTATGTTGTTCTGTGTGGTAAATAATCATGATAACACTTACTCCTATAATACACAGGTTTAGGTCCACTGACTGGACTCAGTCGTGGGTCACACCGACTGAGGGTGGTTCCTGTTGGGTGCAGCGTTAATGAAGGAGCTACGTTTCTATTTGATGTTTGAAACTTCGAGAGTTTAACTGACTTTTTTCCCTGAGTTGTAGATGTTAGGAATTTTCTGCAAGATTAAATTTGACAACTCATGACATAGTTTTAGTAGTTCGTTTCAGTAGGTTACTAACATCTACTTGTTGAATATGTACAAAAATGCTGTGAATTTAACAAGCACTTTGTGTTTTGACATTGTGATGATGTTGGTTGTTGTGGCAGTGGTGATAGTAGCCACAAGTGCTAGGCTATCTGCACACGAAAGCCAGTTGGCTAACTATCAGCGTAAGTAGCTATGTTTATTATGGATGCTAAATCATAACGCATGTGTCAATCTAAAGGTGTCTTCATGGGAAATGAGTCTGAAGAAGGACGAAACAGTGACGATATCCAACCAGCCACATTGTCCCTTTGTGGACCCACCAAAGCGTATGGTATGGTACAGAGAGTGTATGCATTAAGCGGCTACAGCATTTTAGTGTTAGAGTAGGCAATCCCTGAAAGTCTCCATAGAAAGAGATCCTTTCAACAAGCTGATGTGTGAGTGGGGGACGGGCTTCAAATTCTATTATTTCAAGGCCGTTGGCAAATATTACGAAGCTCTCCTCTTTAACAAGTATGCCAAGAGCCACTCTTGTACTGACTCCATGGATATTCAGAGGATTCTACTTTTTTTCCCCAGTGATTATCGAGCCTGGAGTTTAAAACGAGGGTGCTACCAGCTCCTCCGGCCGTAAGGCGAGGGTTAACGTGAAGAATTATGTTATCGAAATCAGTTCCTGTCAAAAGATTCACGATGACCCCACCTCCTCGGTTGGGTTGATGTAGGTCAGTTGGATTGGTGTTCCGACCGCCAGTTCCGGTAAAAGTAGTATTGTTTCCTCAGGGTCTGCAATATTCAGAGTGCAGCACCATTAGTAAGAACAGTATAATTATACTTGGAAGTAGGTTAATACATAAAATTCCTGGGCCCAGTTAAAATGGGCTGGGCTATAGTTTGGACAGTGGAGTGTGTGAGAAGATAAAGTCTATTATAATAGTCAACGCCTGTTTTTACAGCTGACTCTTGTAAAAATTGTGTTAAATAGCTATCGATGCCAGTATCATTCGCTCAGCCACGATGAACATCACCGGGTCTGTGGGACCATCTGGTATAGACGCACATGGGTGCAGAAGACTACGTACATCCTTCAAAGGGGCATCAAGCGAACTATTGCCACTCCTTAGCCCTGGTCGCAAGAAGAATATGTATCTCATAATATTATGTTGACCCAAAATCAATATCACCTCTTCTGGCCTGCCGCCCTAGACAAGAACCCTGGTGTCCGACCAATACGCATTTGGGATACTGCGGGCACATCCCTCTTATCAACAAACTGCCTTTCCTGTGCAGATGGCCAAGCACTTGTGGCTACTATCACCACTGCCGCAACAAGAATAGTCACCAGAACTTTCATCGTTTGAGATGGCTTTTCACTTTTAGATTTCTATAAAACTGCTTTGCTCATTCTGCTTTTATAGCTAGGCTGAGTGCGACGCATGCGGTGGCCGACAAGTGCCATCCCATCCTTCTAATTGCATTTCGTGTTTCCATTATAACAACCCTCCCATTTTCCACTTTGCTTTTCCATTATCCAAATTACCTTTTAGTTCAGCACATGCTGTGCACGTTTGGATGATCCTCAGATGATCCCATGGCTCACCAGAGGCTCATGAACACACACAGAAAATGTCATGCTCCGAGCCGACATGCATGTTGCTGGTGTGGCACCTCAGCAAGCACAAAATGAATAGCTAAAAGTACAAAATCAAAAAGGGAACGTGAATTTTGTGGAATATAGAAGGTTTGTTGGCTACTGTAATGTGAGTTGCCAATTTGGCCGTAGTATGCTTTAACATGGTGTATTCGGAATGGGTTCCAATTTGACGGCCGTTTTTTTCAAAGCCTTTGGAGATATGATAGTTGTCACTGTTACCGTAGGTAGGCAAAGGTATTCGCTCTCAGATCCTTGCCTTGGGTTGTTTTTGGGACAGAACTGGTGTCGTATTCCGAATTACCCGCCCTTACTTTAGCTGCAGATCAAGCGTCTATAATTATTATGCATACTGTATAGTGTATATTATACACTTCGTGTTGCATCAACGTAAGTCAGATTAGCCTGCAACCACTAAGTGTAGTAACTTTCTGGGCAACATTATTAACCCTCGGCGCGCATGCGCAGCGAGGGTTATACTTGGTTTGTGTGTCTGTGTCTGTGTGTCTGTGTGTCCGTTCACGTTTTCTGCCACTAGACGCATCAAGATCGCCAAAACTCTACACCAACGGGTTCAGCGCTACATTTACTTGGTTTTGAAACTGGCGATTTTCGTAAAAACACTGCGTTCAAAAGTTATGGCGTGCAAAGCAAGTGAACAAGCCAATATGCAAAGTAGCACGGGCTTAACCTGTGCTTGATCTGCGTACCTTGGAGGCACAAGACGTCACAACGAAGGGTGTGTATCGACTCCCGCATGCTAATCCCTACTACTGTAGCTTGCCCGTATCAGACTCTCCGTGTGCTACTAGCGGGAGACCACGTACCTACGGAACCAGCCCATCAATTAGCGGTATCGCGCAGCGCAGTTTCGTCGAGGTTTGCACTTCAGTGCTTTTTCATATTTAGAGGTAATAAGTTACTGCCCTCAACGTACTGTTTTGTGCACTACGCTGGAGACCCTACGACAGTGGCCGGCTCAATCACATCATCAGAAGATTGGTAAAATAGAGAGTCTCTAGGATAAGGAAGGTATACTTGTCTGCTATCTAAGACTCTAGCATTGCAATGGAATACAGCTTATTCTCGTCCCCCTGGACTCAAAGGTGTAATGCACAAGGAAAGTTTTTGTTTCGCAGCTATATTTTTTTGAAAAATTAGGCATTGCTTTGTTGCGACATAATATAAGGGTGGTCTACAAACTGAGCTAGCTACCAGGGCAACTCAGCTGTAGGGTTTAAAATCTTTAACACGATACTATGGCACATATATATCCTACACTTTAGTAGAAATAATTCAACCACCAAAGATGCCAACTTCCGATGCAACTAACAACAGAGAGCATGGCAAATGAAAGAAAAACAATCAACTACGACTGCTAATTTTCCTAGAGTGGCAATAAAAGTACCATTAGCTAAAGCACTGTTAGCTAAAAGCGCTGAGTTTCTCCCTTATCTCAAGCACTGCCTTAGCAGTACCACTGCCGCCAACCCTAGCCAAATACTCAGTCACAAACAACCATTGGTTGCATCATTTAAGTCAATATGAGTATGGAATGAGCGAGAAAAGCCACACAGTTACACGTAAAAGAATCTCTGTTACCTTTTTGGAATAAAAGGAACCTGCACTAGCAGGAAGACAAATCATATCTTGCGATTGGAATAACACGGCAGAGTGAGCCAGAAAGCAACTCACCTTCAGTGGAACAGATACTCCAAGCTTTTTACTGAAACATGCCCTTGGATAACGCTTAGGGTTAAATACTGCTCAAAAGCAGGCGTTAATCTACAGTTCGTTTCATCCTCCTTTAAGTGGTAACGTTTCCTCCTCTATTCCTTTTATCTTTCGAACTTACCTTTCAAATGGATTCTCTCTGCCCCGCCCCCTCTGGAAACTGCCACTAATATTTTTCCTGTGTTGATAGTCTAAACTACCTAAGAATTACTTTTTGGAATATTAAAGCTTTGTGTTGTATGAAAAAAAGGTTTAAAACAAATAAGTTTAACAAACATATTGATGTGCAACGCACACTGCGAGGTCATCCATTCACATCTAACCCTCGGCGCGCATGCGCAGCGAGGGTTACGGTAGTTGTCCCGTAAGTGTGTCTGTCAGTCTGTCAGTCTGTCTGTCTGTCTGTCACGTTTTCTGCCACCGCGCGCACGAAAATCAGGTAAAATGCGATATGATCGGGTCAGTGCTACACTGGTTTGTTTTTAAAAAAGGCGATTTTCGTAAACTACTGTGTTCTAAAGTATGGCGTAATGAAAACCAAGTGAACAAAGCCAATATAGTAATTAGCACAGGCTTACCTCGACCGCGTTCCGCGCGCTCTGTGTATCTTGAAGGCACAAAGAAGCACAACGAAGGGCATGTATCGACTCCCGCATGCCAATCTACTACTGTAGCTAGCCCGGCCAGACTCTCCGCTAGCTACTAGCGCGATACAACGAGTAAAAGAAAAAGAAAACCCAGCCCATCAATTAGTGGTACCGCGCATGCACAGTTCGCCGAGGGTTGCACTTTAGGCTTTTAATGATACAGTAGCCCTCCTGAGGCGAAGGAAAGTAAGTCACTTTGAAGTTGAAAAACAATATAATTCATCACTGTGACCCTCTCCCCTCTCTGCGCTGCTGTGGCATAGTCACGCTTGGGGAAGTAGGGGCCACTAAAGTTCACCTTAAGCCTGGTATATATAGTGGTTGTGTAAAACCGTTTTATACTGGCCACCACATACGTACTTACATGGCATACCTTTTCTTGTGGGACATATGTACAGACTGATAAGTCTCATTCGTGGATTGAAGGCAGAATGGGGGAAGTTGCACAAAGGATTCCAATGTGTTAGTGTTATTTTTTTTTTTTAAAAAGTTATCGACAATTTCGAGAGAGTAAGGTTGAACTTTAGCGCAATACATTGCTGGTTGACTGATGAGGGGTGGTAAGGTAATGCATTTGTGCCCGGAGGCGTAGTTCTAATCCTACCACTGCTCTTTTGTCTCGTCTTTTTTGCGTTGTTAGTGCCCTAAATAGATCAATAAGTCATAATACATGAATGTGTAGTGCCTACATGTGCTCGGTTCTCGTGAGAGTTAGTTGTTACTTCTTTCTATCAAACTTAGCTATTGCCTAGTGTAAACGCCGGTTGCAGTCCATTTTACACACGTGATGATATGGGCACAGAAAAAGAAAAAAATAGTACGGACAATAGAGGATGTACAGTCATTACACCTCCCCGTGGACGTTCAGACATTACGGCTGATTTATTCTTCAACTGCCTCTTCCACAGGGGCCATCATCAAGTCAGAGGTAGTGCAGGTGGTGTGAGCATTCCCCTCCACGTCAGATCCACTGTCGTGGACGCGGTCTGTAGCCGGATGATAGTGGGTCCACGCTGGTGGTTCTTCACAGTCTCTGCTTAAGGATCATTACTTTGCCCATCCCTAGCTTTTCCAGGACACG